GTGTAAGGAGGGTACGGCGTATATGGTGAATATTCCATGGAGGTTTGAGGGTAAGGAATTCCTCCAGGAATTTGGCTGAATGGGTTCATCTCATGCCTCTTAGAAAAATACCTGAAAGGTTAGTACAAAAAAATCCTACGGAAAACTAAAAAAAAATCTAACTAAAAAAAATATCGCTGAAATTAATTAACACTTAAACCCGACACCGTCCCCGGCAACGGCGCCAAAAACTAATGTGAGTTTTCTCGCACTTAGAAAGATTGTAGAATAGTGCTGAAAGTACGAGTATCGTCTCCACAGGGACGGACAAAAGGAATTTAAGATTAACTAAATTCAGCGATTTAAAAGAAATAAAATTAAATAAATGTGTCGTGCGAGATTGATCGGTTGAATTGAAATTAAACTAATGCGAATGAGCGAATAAAAGTAAAGATTTGGGTTCTTCTTAATTAACGACGAAGGGAACAGGGATTGATTCCGGGGTAATCAGATTTCTGGCAGATCAGGCCTAATTACATGAATTTAATTTAATTGAGCCTAGCCAATCAATACTAGATTCTTACCTCTCTCGCGACGTAGAGTACAATAATTTAGGGGACCAAGCTGATCTCTCTTGCGACAGGATCCTAAATTATTGCCAAGATGAACGAGCTTACGGTCCCTTAATAGCTACTAATCTCTTAGCAAACGATTAAGTGTGTGTGAATGCGTCCTAGAACAAATTAGATCTCTCTTAATATATCCTACATGCGATTGTAATTCTAGTCGCGGTTCCAGATTACAAAAGATAACAGTTAAATTATTCAAACACAAATTAAATGGCATTCATGTAATCAAATCATCAAGAAACTAGCCATACATCATGATAAACCCCTTCATCAACCCCAAATCCCTAATTAAAACTACTCACAATTCATAATTGAAGAATCAACGGAATTGGGAAGAACAGAATTAATTGTCATTAATAAAAAAAAAGTAGGAACTTACAAAGAATCTCAAAGAATTGAAAAACAAGGCTTGAAAAGCTCTCAAAATTCGTCCTTAAGCTGCTAAATAAGTTCCATCCCCCCTTATTAGGGTTATGGGGGTAATATTTATAGGAAACAAGGCAATTTGTGCTGAATTAGGACAAAACGGGGTCAGACACGGTGCGAGGCACGACCGTACCTGCGACCGTGCCTACAGAAGCATTCTGTTTAAACGCGTCCAGGCACGGCGTGCCTAACTGTCAGGCACGACCGAGCCTGGCCTCCAGTAGCTCGTTCCTCGTTTCTCTTCAGGCACGGCGTGCCTGGGTTCCAGTAGCTCATTCCTAACTTTGAGGGCACGACAGTGTCTACTTAATATCTGAATGTGGAAATGCTTCCTTCATTAAAGTTGTAGATAATGAAGTCCTCTATCCACCACATCTTGCGGAATTGGATTTGAATCATCTAATCAAGAGATATGATCAAATTGGTGGAAGGTCTCATTCTGAAATCGCAACAGGGATCATCTGACTTCATCGTCTGGTTTCACCTTCTTCCTCTCAGATTATCGCAATGGTGTCTTCATATGATTTGTATCCCTTGAAGTTGTCTTTCATATGGACTTTGAATCGTATACATTGAATGTTTCTACAAAGAGATATGCTTGAACGATTGACAGAAGGTCATCCTGATCGCCGATTTCAAGCTTCATTCATCTTATTTTGATCCCGTAGCCATTCCTAGAGCTCTCTTGTCGTCAAAACTTCATCGTGAACCTCCCGGTGACCTCCAAATCTCTCAATTCACTCTCGAATGCTTCTCAACTCATCCTGATTTCTTCTCAAGCGCCGGTGTCGAACTCTAATATCCTCATTTTGACTCCAAATGACACAAAACTCGAACCAACGCCTGTTAAACATAACTTGAGCTAAAATTGAGACTTGTAACACCTTAAATCTAGGAAAACCATCAAGAGCCAATCTCAACACGCATCAAATGTGTGTCTAAATACGGACTTATCATATCCCAAAAAACATTATTTTATAACATATTATATAATTGTGCATTTTTAGTTTACGTGTTATCATTTTTACATCTTTATTTCGCTTATTATAAATTTACAGGATGAGTAGGATATTGCATAATCTGAATTTGATCATTTGTGGCCTCAAATTTTATAGTGCAACTTTATGTTTTACACGGTGCACAAGTGAATTACATAAATAATGTTCAAATGCGCACAAATGCAAGAGAAAGGTGCAAAGCGATTCAATGAAAAACGCTATTCAAAGAAGTGCAAGATATTCTAATAAAAAGTGCAAGAGAGATGCTAGTTGAGAATTTGTTATATTTATACGTTATGCATTTTTAATAAATTACGCAGTATTAAAAATCAAATAAAACCACACTTTATATGCTCAGGTGCACAGATTGGTTTTTATAGTGCAACTTTATGTTTTACACGGTGCACAAGCGAATTGCATATATAATGTTCAAAAGTGCACAAATGCACGAGAAAGGTGCAAAGCTATTCAATGAAAAGTGTCGTTCAAAAAAGTGCATTATATTCTAATCAAAGTAGCATGATAAGTTCTAGTTGAAAATGGGTACATTTATACGTTACCAGTTTTAAGAAATTATTAAAAATCAAAGAAATTCACTTTTTATATAATCATCTTGAAAAATAAATAATGGTGTTGAATTTTTTATTTCAATTAGCACCTTTTATATAACCACATTGCATTTTATGCAAAATGTATATGTTACATAATAGAAAAGTGCATTTAGTCTAAATATTTAATTAAATTGATGTGTTGCATTATATTTGGAATAAAAGTCCACTTATTCAACGTTGGAGTGCAAAAATACAAAACTAGGTGGATGATATATTGTATCAAGAAACATGATTAAACATGAAAAATGCATAATTCAAATAAAGTTTTTTATAAAATTAACGTGAGAGATTACTAAATTTAACAATAAAATTTAGTAATAACACTAAAGTGGATTGTTATTTGAAAAAACACTGCAATCTTCACAATTACAAGGTGCAAATGAATATGGGCAATGGTGCACTCGGGCAGATTTAATTGAATTTCTTGATTGTATTTATTATTTAAAATAACAACCAAAATAAATCAACTATTAAAGAAAGAATTATCCGGATTAATAGGTTGCCCATATTGCATTTAATGATGAGAACCTATACATATGGAAAATTGAGCTACGGTTGTTGACTATCCATATTAAATAATTGTGACTTTTACAATTCTATCCTTAGTGCTAATAAACCTCAATGTGTATAATCCATCTAATAAGAAAGTTTTTAAAAAGTTATGAAATTCCAAAAAACGACTATCATATCTTTATTTACTAAATATGAGTAATTTCTATCAAGTTTGACATTATCAGGGTTTAAACATTAAAGTTTCTTTCAAGTTTTTTCAAACGTGGCAAAACTTACTCCTATTTATGAAATAAAAACATGAAAGTCTTTTTGAAATTTCAAAACATTTTTACTCCTATTCGGGACAATTTCTATCAAACACCTACTGAACAAAGAGGTTCATCTGGGATCCTAGCTAAGAAATTGGCCTTTAATACTCATGGTAATCGCAGTACAATATTTAAAAAGTAAGGGAACATGAAAATAAAAAGGAAATGTTAACAAATCACCAATGATTGCAAAAACTGAGCTTTCACACAATCACACCTCAAGAAGACCATATAAGAGATGAAATATATAAGAGAAAGAAATTTATAAAAAAGTACAAACTAATCGAAGAGTTGAATAATCGACTAAATGATGATTAAGAGATTAAATTGGGGGTTTAAGTTGGTTAAATGTTGATATATTTTAGTCTATTTATCTTCCAACCTCCAAATCTTCGCATCCCTTCAAAATATTTTAGCATCTTCAAGTGTTCACATAATCGGACCTAACTAGAGCTAGTGTGGCCTGTGACAAGCATTGGATTGCTCTAGGAATCTTTTCCGATCCTTAGAGAAAAAGTTTGAAGCTTGCGCCGGATCAGTCCGCTGCATAACACGTGTATTCTAGAGAGTATACTCCGTATTTTATTTAAGGGGAAAACGTGCAAAAAAGCCCTCGAATTAACCGAACAAGTGCAAATCACCTCTTTTATAGGTGGTTCTATCCAGATTATTTGTCCTTTTCCCTTATTTAAGTCACTAGTTTGAACATGGTTTTTTTAACAAAGTTGTACATAAGGATGTCTTTTATTCGCCAAACTTGAATCACTTGATTTGAATAATAATTCAATCAAAAGATACGAATGAAATATTGAGAGGTAGACATCCTAAAATCTAACCAGCAACATCCACTTTATCGGTTGATATAGTCTTGATCGTTTGATGCATGTTCTGGCCATGACATACTCAAATAATTTTGAGTTCTAATGGAATCATTTTGAGTTCTCTACAATAAGTCATACTCGTATTATGGATAAAACGTCATCTTCTTGATATTTTCCCGATTTCTATTTTTTCTAGCAAATACTTATAAGTACATATGTAAAACACGTGTAAATATAACATCTATCAGCGGGCACCAAATATTCTTAATTAAATACTCTAATGCATCCAAATTTAAAGATTCTCATACGCTATTTACGTACACATTCAATATGAATCTCTTTTAAGTTAATATATCAAACATTAAGAATCTAAATTATGAATATATTTTTGCCATTAGAACGAAATCTCAGCATGGTTTCCAAATATATAGATTTTAAATATTGATATACGTTATTAAAGAATTAGCCAACTCTGAAATCGAATATTTAAGTATAATATTCGCACCCCAATAAATTAAACCTCACTCCTATATGTTTATGACTATGCCAATTAAGGCCTAAGATACTTAATTTGCAAATGCGTACTATTGGAAAAGAATTAATATCCAGAGAAGTATATATATAGGTGTTAAAAATGTGTATGTTCGCATATTAACACATAAGTATAATAACATTAACGTTTTCGATTTTGTTTAAACTAATTAGAGATGGGGAGGGATGGTAAAACAATTAATCGGCCATTAATCGGTCTACTATCTTTGTTTGGCCTACTAACCATTGTTATGGCGGCCATGAAACAAAACTATGGCGACGCTTTGTCCAAAAGCATCCTATTTTTTGAGGGTCAGAGGTCCGGGAAACTACCAGCCACCCAACGTGTGTCTTGGAGAAAAGATTCTGCTCTTCAAGATGGTTCAGATTGGAAGGTACGTAAATCTCTCTTGTATTTAAGGAATGTTCTTAAGAGTTAAAAAAAGTATTCTCCAATTGGTGCTTCTTTAACATTCAAAGTAAATAGTTGAAAGTTTGAGAGATGCTTAAACCAGTTTTTCAATTTGATCGTCCGATTGCAGTTTACTAGGTTTGACTGACGATAAAGCAAACAGATGACTGCTCACACTCAAAAAAATTAGAAAAAAAATTTACATATTCAGACACTACATTAAAAGCGTTGATTGACCATTTCTGTGTCAATACATGCTACAATTATTAAGTTGTCCCACACCGGTTGCGTATAGAAATACAAACCAACATATAAAGCTTTGAACTAGTCCTATTAATATGCTATGAGAGCAAATTAAGCTCAAACGAGTAATTAGATCCTAGTAAGCCTCAACAACGAGCACACAGATTACAAGATTGGTTTGCTCAAATGAGCCACCATCTTGCGGGCACTACAAAAAACATGGGATTGCATGGATTTTGGCAGGGATTTAGCAGAGATTTTGGCAGGGAAATGCCAAATTCGTGCCAAAAAATACTTTGGCACGAGCTATTTGGCACGAAAAATCGGTAAGTCCGTGCCAAATTCTGTGTCAATCTCGTAATTTTTTTGTAGTGGGGATGTATTAAGCTGTCAGGACTACTCCTAATAGATTGACCTTTTAGGATGAAACTCCGATTCTTAATAATAATATGATCTGATTTCTTTGGTGGATGTAGGTGGACTTGGCAGGAGGATACTACGATGCAGGTGACAACGTAAAGTATACTTTCCCGATGGCCTTTACCACCACATTGCTTGCATGGAGTGTGGTGGAATACGGAAGAGACATGGGAAACGATGAGTTGACCCATGCACTTGAAGCCGTACGCTGGTCAACGGACTTCTTGCTAAAGGCTACCAACCAAGAAAATGTTGTTTCTGGGTTAGTAGGTGAACCAGTAGCTGATCATAATTGCTGGGAAAGGCCCGAGGATATGAACACTCCTCGTACCGCTTTTGCGGTCACCGACAAGGCTCCCGGCTCCGAGGTTTCTGCCGAGATCGCCGCCGCCTTGGCGGCTGCTTCCATGGCTTTCAAAGATTCAGACCCTAAGTATTCGAATGGGCTTTTGCAAAGGGCTTTCAAGGTAACGAACCTGGCTAGCACATGGAATATAATCATCCACACTATTAATCACGAAGCAATTCTGTGTTGTTTCAATGAGTGTGCATATATATTGTTCATTTGTTCGCATTGGCTTACTTTTAAGAGGTTCTGGGCTCACTATTTTGGGCCCCCAAATAGGTACCGTTAGGAGTGGGCACGGTTGGTTAACCGCATTTTGGTTAACCAATTTTCGGTTAACCGTGATATTGGTTACGCAATTTTATATATCATTACCCATACCATAACATTGGTTAACCGGATACCGGTTAACCAATATTTCGGTTAACCAATAACGATTAACCAATAAACCGAAAGAGAAAGATAAAATTACCAATATTCTTGTTGTTTTAAACTTTGTACATACGGAGCACAATTTTTTAAACGTAGAGCTAGCCAGCTAGGCAACTAGTTTTTTTTTGACAGATAGCTATATAATAATACAGTAATACATAGTTTTTTTTGACAGATTGCTTTTTTTAAAGTAGAGCTTCCCAGCTAGGCATAATAATAATAATACGTAGTAATAATAATACGGAGTAACTATACAGAGCAACACTATATGTACGTATTATAATATATTCCACATGATTGTTTGGGAGGGAACTGGAAGCATGAGCACAATTTTCATCGGAAGCACGTCGCAGCTCGGTGCAAATGTTACAAAACATGTACATGTTGGTTAACCGGTATTAACATAATCTTAACCATAACCGTACCATTACCATTTTTTCTTTGCGGTTGGTTAACCGTACCGTAAGTTTTTAAACAATCCGGTACGGTTAACCGGAAAATACATCGGTTTTTCGGTTTTTTGGTTTGGTTAGTCGGTTACGGTATTTTGTGCCCACCCCTAGGTACCGTATAGTATTATGGTTTCAATCAAGTTTTTAATGGCAAAGCTTTTTCATTATAGACAAAGGCCGAATATAATGATTGAATCCGATCAAACTCATGAAATTCTAGCTGAATCTACTGAATTGTGAAAACAAATATTTAGAATGTACAAAATATTTTAATAATAAAATTAAAAAAAAAGTTTAATAGATCGCTAAAATAGTTTTCTATAGTAAGTTCAACCGTTTCATCTAGAAAAACAACTTCAACGTTATATGTTTTGATTATTACTCAATTCAGAGTGCAAAATCAACGTATTTCATTAAAAAGTTGATTGATAAACTGAAAAAATGATTATCAAATGCGATCCAAATGTTTTAAATCGTCAAGTTTTAAATTATGAAAGTGCTTCAGTCCTACCTACGCACAGTAGACATCACACCAATAAACAATTCACGGAAAACAATAATATTTGTACCCTTCTATATATAAATGGGCTTATGTTTAATTACAACATGAAATTTAAGTTTGAAACATAGCCTCTTAAGATCATTACACGATCCTGATTGTTTGGACTAAATTAAGCTTCTTCTTATTACTTTTCAGGTCTTTGATTTTGCTGATAAGTTTAGAGGTTCATACAACGATAGCATTGGGAAATGGGTTTGTCCATTCTATTGCGACTTCGGTGGTTACCAGGTTTATATAATTAAGTTTATCCATTCCAACTTGTGTAATTTGACATGATAAAAAACTTGCACGCATACAAATTAAGGGACGAATTAAACCATATATGATCGACTTAACTTAAAGATTCAGAGTTCTCTAAGTAGAAATGTTTTTTATGCTCGGAATTGAACTTGATGATGAAGTCCTAGCACAATGAGAAGAGTAACTAGGTGCAGTTTTGGTAATAAGGAATGAAAGATATTAATAGTCAAACTTGCAGGAACGGATACAGGGGAGGGCCAGTTTGGCCCTGGCCCAACCCAAATTTTAAAAATGGCTTAATTTTTAGTGTAAAAAATTTTGGCAAAAAAGTTTTCCCAAAATTTTCTTTGTATCGACCCAGTCTGGCCCAATGTCCTGGCTCCGCCCCTGCAAACTTGTGTGTAAGGAAGGAATTACTAGTACGTGTGATATTAAAGTTCTCTTAATTAATTTGGTGGTAGGATGATTTGATTTGGGCTGCTGCATGGCTTCACAAAGCTACAAATACGGAATGGTACTGGGATTATGTCAAGCAGAACATAAATAATATATGGATGGGTGCAACTGCGTTTAGTTGGGATAACAAACAGGCCGGCATAAACGTGCTCGCCTCTCAGGTTAACCTCACCGTTTATATCAATCAATTCAACAACTAAATTACTTGCTACTATTTTATAGCAAACCGCTAATTAATTAACACATCAAAACGCTGCAAAAATGCAGCAGTTTGCTACCGACCCGCTGCAAAACAACCGAAGCCACTATCAGAAATAATTCCTAATCAATTATCAAAATAACAATAATAGACCAAGATGTGACTAATTAACTTTTATCAATTATCAAAGTATGTATATATGTAGTCATTAAGTCATTTTTTTGTTCATAGATTTTTATTAGTACGGAGTAATATTTTATTTAGGTTTTTTATGAATACAATTAGAACACCACTTCATTAACCCTCGATCAACTCTTTTTCTAAAACAAATATCCTAGATGTGAGTCGTGCGGCCAACTAATCTCTATTGATCTTTATTTATGCACAATACTTTTGTGATTTGTCAATAGAATTGTGGGCAAAGCTTGATTAAAAAATATGTACTATAGATACACGTAATTTGTACTATGTTATCGAAATAAAATTGAATCTATCGTTGATCACACATCATAAACCGTACTATTAGGCACTTAAGGGACAAAGTTCGTATGTATCTTTATTTACAATATTCTGTGACTTATCTATTAATAGAATTGTGAGTGTGGGTTATATAAATATGTAACTTATAATTACTAACACTAATTTATTTGTTATTCATAAAAAAATCTTACTATTAGGCTACTTATAAAGGGTCAATGTTAGTACGTACCTTTATTTACAATATTTTATGTACAAAGTAGTAAACGGATAAAATACTAACCGTGTTGGATGCAGTATATTCTTAATGGGGGCGGTGGCAAAGATTTCACCCCATTCATACCCAATGCCGATGCACTCATTTGCAACGTTCTTCCCGAATCGCCTTCAAAAACTGAGACATTTACTCCTGGTATGTTAAAGGAAACATTTCGTTACTTTCCTTGTTATTTTATCCCGCTTCAGGTTTTCTTTTTACTGAAAAATAAGCTGTCATAAAAACTTAAATAATTTGCTGGAAAATGTAATCTTGAAAAATAGGTTGGCCACGGAATATTCGAGTGTAACGTTTGCAAGTGTATAACATAAAATATTTGAAATTTATGAAAAAAGGTTCTTTATAAAACAAAGCAAACATTAATAAGAATTTCTTTCCAAAATACTACCTATTTCGCGCCTGTTCACAAAAATATAACTAAGTGAAAATTTGACTTTGCACCCAATACTTTCATTCATATTGAACTTTGCACACTATTTTCAAAATCATTAATATTTGTATATTATTTTACTATAAAATCATTTGACTTTACACACAGCTCCATCATAATATTTGGGCAGATAAGGAGCAAATATTAATGATTTTGAAAATTGTGTGCAAAGTCCAATATCACCAAAAATATGGAGTTTTTGCCACTTTTAGTCCTCCGACTATTATGTCATTGACACTTTTGGTACACAATTTTGAGTTTTTCCACATTTAGTCCTTTGACTATTGTGCGACAGACATTTTTGGTACTCGTCTTTGAAAATTTCCGCATTTAATATTTCCATTTTCATAAAAGTGACGCTTTTGGTCCTTCAACTATTATAAAATTGACTAAAAAAGTCAATTTTATAATACTCGGGAGACTAAATGTGGAAAACACAGAATTCGAGGATTAAAAGTATCTCTGACACAATAGTTGAAGACTAGAAATGGAAATATTGAAAGTCGAGTATCAAAAGTGCCACTGACGTAATAGTCGAGGGACTGGAAATGGAAAAAACTACAAAAATATGAGGTGCAAAGTCAAATTACCTCCTAACCCCTTGATATAATAAGACTAAATTTCAGGTCCAAATTTTTTCAATTAAATATTTCCCATTACAAAATATGTTCCCTCATGTCAAGCATAGGCATATGGAACACAAACCGGAAAAGAGAAAAACAGAAATTATTCTTGTTAGAGTCAAACGGCCCCTTAACTTATTCTTGATATTCAAAGAAAATGCGGTGTGTAACATTCAACGGTCAGCAGCTTTGTCGTTTCTTTTTGTAACATATGGACGGTACTTGGAAGCAGCCAAAAGAACAGTGGACTGCGGTAAGGGCGTGTTTGGCACTCCGGCAAGGCTTACGGAGTTTGCGAAATCGCAGGTTGATTATATCCTCGGAGACAATCCGATGGGGATGTCTTATATGGTGGGGTATGGGGAAAAATATCCTCAGAAAATACACCACCGCGGTTCTTCTTTGCCTTCCGTGGATCATCATCCAGCACCAATTGGATGCAAGGATGGGACACCATATTTCCAGTCCCCGGACCCGAACCCGAATTTGCTGGTCGGGGCTGTCGTCGGAGGCCCAGACGGAAATGACAAATTTGCCAACGATAGAGCTGACTCTACGCACTCGGAGCCTGCTACTTATGTGAATGCGCCTCTTGTCGGAATCTTGGCTCACCTTAAAGCTGTTTCTTAACCTAGGTTTTATTGGGGATAAATTAGGTTTTAGACCGTAGAGTATGTCCTTAACAAATAATAAATAGTATCCACACACACACATACTTCAATTGGTATTTGTATTTTGTGCCCTCTCATTCTTTATTTAATTAAACCCATCTTTTACTTGCATAGTTTCCGTTCAGATCAAGTCAAAACTCGATAGTTTTAATTGTCGTTCATATCTTTTACTCTAGCTATTAGGATTGTTTGAAAGATCTGTTACCAAATACGGAGTATGACTAAAAGTAACTCCATATTCACAAATAAAGAGTACTTCCTCCGTTCCTCAACGTATCATGTCTTTGGCAGTAGCACTAGAAGCATATATTTTCTAAGTCGTGGAGGAGGTGGGAGGTAAAAAAAGTTGGATAACACAGACCTCTTTCACGGATTTTTGTGTATTTGGGGAAGCGGTTTGTATCTATCCAGCCAACAAAACATATAGCTTTCAAGTGTTTCATCAGGCTTCTAGTATAACATACACCCGTTCGGGCACACATCAATTTCTATAAAAGGAAGCCCTAACTCAAATATTAGTTGCTTCATGTTGTAATATGTAGTAGGAAGACTGTGGACACACGATAACATTCCTCATACCGACTGTAATAGCCTCGACTAGGACTATGCATAGACCGGACCAAACCGGAAAACCGGACCGGAAAAACCGGAACCGGTCTGACCCGGTTTGTAGCCGGTCCGGTTATCGGTTTTCAAATTTGGCCAATTCCGGTTCCGGTCCGGTTATTAACCGGATTTGTTCGGTTATAACTGGTTACAACCGGATTTTAGTTTCTTTTGAAAACCTAATTACACTAAGGCACTACTAAGCGTAAAAAATTAGAGAATAGAAAAGTCCAACCGGCTAGCAGGCAAAGCAGAGCATAGTCGGAAATCCTTAGACCTTAGCCGCTGACACACGAGAAGAAAGCTCACCCGAGTCGGCGAGTGGCTAGCGTGCTAGACGGTGGCAGATCAGCAGTAACCAAGATTCCCAGGTTTCATCTCCCAATCTTCCATTCTTAATTACGTCTTCCTGTTCTTTTTGGTTGCGGAAGAGACAAGAAATAAATTGCTGGTTTCGTGGTTAATGGCTATGGACTTCAAAATCGTTTTTCTACCGTAGGATTTATAGTTTTGTTGGATTAATCCTAGGCCCCTATGATACGACCACTTCCAAAATAAACACAAGCAGCACTAATCCCTCTTTCTCAATTCTCGTAACTTTAAAAAAAATCCAGTTCCTGGTTTACATATTTAATGATTTGATGTAAAACAAATCCCAGTAAAGTAATGACTTGTTGAGCTATGGTTTCGTGGTTAATGGCTTTGGACAGGTGATGACATGAAAGAATATGCTACTTGCATTGATAAATTTAGGGCTGTTATGAGATACGTAAAGAATTCTCTTAATAGGTTGATGATTTTTAATCAACAAGTGGAGAGGTTGTAAGTAGATTGTAGTTTGTCCTTGATTCTTGATTGTCCTACTAGGTGGAACTCCACATATGAAATGTTGGACGTAGATTTGAAATACAAGGATGTTTTTGTGAGAGTTGATCTTCCTAGGGAGTTGGAAGATATGGTACGTTTGGATCCCCCTAGTGACGCAGATCGGGAGACGCTAAATTATCTCGTTGTCTTTTTGAAGGAATTTTATGAGTTGACTAAAAATGTGTCGGGCTCGTTGTATGTCACAAGCAACACTCTTTTCTTCCATATATGTCATACTCTTGATTTGTTGAAAAAATGGGTTGTTAGTGATCAGCTTGCTATGAAAAATATGGCAACTAAAATGAAAGCAAAGTATGACAAATATTGGGGTGATATTGAAAAGATGAACAAGCTAAGTTGATATACATGAGCACTGTTCTTGATCCAAACTTTAAGTTGATTGGAGTGAAGATCGCGCTTGTTGATACTTATGGTGAAAAGAATGCAGAACCTCTATTTGAAAAGATAAAGAAATGTGCTTATGATTTGTTTGAGGAGTATAGAAGAGTGTTTGCTCCTCCTGTTGTTATTGATGAGAGTGGGGTAACTAGTAACTCTATAGCAACTTCTTCATCCGTTAGTTCTTCTACTTTGATGAATCTTGTGAAGGATCGCGTTAGACAAATGAGTGGGTCACAACATTTTTCAAGAAGCGAGTTTGATCGTTATGTTGATGAAGAAAGAGGGGACGAGGAAGAAAGGGATGTTTTGACTTGGTGGAAACTAAACAGTCCTAGATTTCCGGTAATAGCGTGTATGGCTCGTGATATATTAGTGATAAGTTCGTATTACAACACGCATTTGATGCGTGTTGGAGTCGGATTTTAATGGTTTTCCTAGCTTTAAGTTGTTGCAAGTCTCAATTTTAGCTCAAGATGTAATTATCAGGCGTTGGGTCGAGTTTTGTTGCATTTGGAGTTGAATTGAAGAAGTTAGAGACCGGCATCGGTGCTTAAAGAGGCAATCGGGAAGATTTTGGAAGCATTCGAGGAATATTTGAGAGCTTTGGAGGTCACCGGGAGGTTCACGATGAAGATTTGAAGGAAAAAGAGCTCTAGGATTGGCTACGGGATCAAAAGAAGATGAATGGACCTTGAAATCAGTAATCAGGATGACCTTCTGTCAATCGTTCAAGCATATCTCTTTGTAGAAACATTCCATGTACACGATTCAAAGTCCATATGAAATCTAACTTCAAGGGCTACAAATCATATGAAGACACCTTTGCTAGAATCTGAGAGAAAGAAGGTGAAAACAGACGATGAAGTCAGATGATCTCTGCTGCGATTTCAGAATGATACCTTCCACTGTTTTGATCATATCTCTTGAATGGATGATTCAAATCACATTCGGCAAATTTGGGTGGATAGAGAACTTCATTATCTACAACTTTCATGAAAGAAGAATTGCCAATTTTGGAAGTTAAGTAGGCACGATCGTGCCCTCAAAGTCAGGCACGATCGTGCGTGAAGAGAAAGCATCGCGGAGCTACTGCCAGGCAGGCACGATCGTGCCTGGCTGGCAGGCAGGCACGCCGTGCCTGCCCAAAATGCGCGTTTTTGCTCCGGAGGCACGATCGCAGGCACAACCGTGCCTGGCGCCGTGCCTGACCCCGTTTTGTCCTAATTCAGCCCAAATTGTCTTATTTCCTATAAATAACACCCCTGTAACCCTAATAGGGGGGGGTGGAACTTTGAGAGCAAGCTTAAGGACGAATTTGAGAGCTTTTTAGCCCTGGTTTTTTCTATTCTTTGAGATTCTTTGTAAGTTCCTACTTTTTGATTAATGACAATTAATTCTATTCTTCCTAATTCCGTTGATTCTTCAATTATGAATTGCGAGTAGTTTTAATTAGGGATTTGGGGTTGATGAAGGGGTTTATCATGATGTGTGGCTAGTTTCTTGATGGTTTGATTACATTAATGCCATTTAATTTGTGTTTGAATAATTTAACTATTATCTTTTGTAATCTGTAATGGCCACTAGAATTGCAATCGCATGTAGGATGAATTAAGAGAGATCTAATTTGTTCTAGGACACATTCACACATACTTAATCGTTCGCTAAGAGATTAGTAACGATTAAGGGGTCATAAGCTCGTTCGTCTTGGCAACAAATTAAGATCCTGTCGCATGAGAGATCAGCTTAGTCCCCTAAATTATTGTACTCTACGCCGCGAGAGCGGTAAGAACTTAGTATTGATTAGTTAGGCTCAATTAAATTAAATTCATGTATTTAAGCCCAATCTGCCAGAAATCTGATTACCCCGGAATCAATCCCTGTTCCCTTCGTCGTTAATTAAGAAGAACCCAAATCTTTACTTTTATTCACTCATTCGCATTAGTTTAATTTCAATTCAACCAATCAATCTCGCACCACGCATTTATTTAATTTTATTTCTTTTTAATCGCTGAATTTAGTTAATCTTTAATTCCCTTTTGTTCGTCCCTGTGGAGACGATACTCGTACTTTCACCACTATTCTACAATCTTTTTAAGTGCGAGAAAACTCACATCAATTAGCAATTTCGATATCAACTGCGGCATCAGAGTCCGCATTTAGCGCAGGAGGACGTACTCTAGATCACTTTAGGAGCTCGTTGACTCCCAAGGTAATTTAATGTTATTATTCAGTAAATTAACATCAATATGTTTTTTAAAAGTTATTTATGTTTTTTTATGTTTTTTGTTTTGCAAATAGATGATGCAAGCGTTTATTTGCGGTCAAGATTGGATTAGAGCTAATTGGCGAAAAACAAGGATAGATGTGATCATGTGGAAGAAAATTTAATGGAATTGCATGAGGTGGAGAAAGGTAAATTTATTTAAATTTGTAAATTTATGTTATGATGTAGTTTGCTTGGTTCTTTTATTTTAAGTATGTTGAAACATAAAGTTTAAATATGTTGTTTAATGTAGTTATTCATGTTTACTGAATTAGCTCTTTTCAAATCGTTGATTAAGATATCTTTTTAATCAAAGTTTTGAAGAACACATAAAAGTAGCAGCAAATAGACATTGATTTTTTCGGGGATCATTCTAGTGTAGGAACAACAAAATAATGGTCATCTTTAGTTAGCCAGTAAGGAGACTACGTATTTGGTTCGTTGAAATTCAGGTTTTAATACTTATGCTCATATTAATTTCATTTTAATTCGTTTTTAATTTTTGTAAGTGTGGAATAGGCAAATTGTATTAGTGAAGAGCTGGTTTATGTTGCTTGAAACCCTTGAAGTCTTGAAGTTGCAACCTTTAATATTCCATAATCTTTTTTTGACATGTTCTGGTTAATTTTGGTTAAACTTTTTGTTGTATGAACTGCAAACTTTAATTTAGATAATTATCGTCTTGTAAACCTAATACTTTATGAGGCATTTTGGAAAATTTTAGGCGTGTGATTTGTGTTTTGCAAGCATTTTTGGGATTTGTAGACATTTTGTAACTTGTAAATCTTTCTACAAGATTTCTGGAATTTTTAGGCATTGTTTGGAGTATAAATTAGGATTTGTAGAACAAAAAGTTGCTGGAAAAACAGGAAACCGGTTTATCCGGACCGGTTCCGGTTGTCAACCGGTTTTTCCTGTTCGGTTCCGGTTATGATAATGATAATGATGACGACGATGATGATGATGATGATGATGATGATGATGATGATGATGATGATGATGATCATAATAATAATAATAATAATAATAATAATAATAATAACAATAATAATAATGATGATGATGATGATGATGATGATGATGATGATGATCATGATGATCATAATAATAATAATCATAATAATAATCATAATAATAATAATCATAATAATAATCATAATAATAATAATAATAATAATAATAATAATAATAATAATAATAATAATAATAATAATAATACTTAATATATGATCAAAACGGGAATACACGCCGGATAAAAATGCTACGTAGTATTTAGTCACTTTTAGCTATTGTGATTGTCAATTCCTAGCATCACAAAAACACATTGTATAAAGGATACTTTTAATTGGAATAGTTTTACTTTCAATTCAAACCAGTTTAGACCATAACAGAACTGAACATATCATATTTTGATTGATCCAAACAGATCATAGTAGTTGCTTTTGATTGTAGTTCTTCCACTGTTGTTGATTGCCATTCCCATAGTTTCCTCATTGCTGCTGGTTGTAGGATTGATTATAATTGCCCTATCTATGGAATCTATGGCATCTATTTGCTCCACTCCAGGGACTGCCAAGGTTGTGGCTATCATATTGTATTCATTTGGCCAATGGAGGCCCCCACACGTACTGCAAGATGGAGTAATAGGTCCAGAGGCCACCATTCTCACGTTAGTCACCGAGGAAACATGTTGCAACTTCTTTAGATCCTCCACACTTTTTGATAGCTTCTGCATCATGCTGGTCAATGTATCCACGCGTGTTGAAAGTGTTGAACTCTCACTGATCTCGTATAGGCCTGGAGCTTTCTGCTGAGCTGAACTCCTTGAGTTGTACCATGAAACATTGTTAATCACTATTTTCTCTACCAGTGCTTCTGCATTTTCAGCCGGCAGCTCAGGAAAGCACCATTTGTGGAAGCATCCAAAATCATCCTTCCCTCGTCATTGATAACACTGTAGAAATAGGATATGACCTCACAGTTACTCATCTTTCCCTAAGGGCATGATCTTCTCAACACCTTGAATCTCTTCCACGCTTCAGATAGGGACTCCAAGGATCTTTGCTTTAACTCTTGCAATTGCTTCTTCAGCTTTAATGCCTTTGATGTTGGCACGTATTCTTTAATGAAGGCACTGTAAAGCAGGTCCCAAGTCTAAAGATAATGGTGTGGATTGTTGTCCAGCCATCTCTGTGCATCATCCCTAAGTGAAAGCGGGAAAACCATCATCCTCACTTGATCATCAGCCAGCCCTGATCTTGAACGTCTCACACATCCACATGAAACGAGTGATGTGCATTGCAGGGTCTTCAGTCGGTCCTCCTCCAAATTGATTGTTTGAGATCATATTAATCACCGCCTGATTGATCTCGTAACGGTTAGCAGTGGTGCCTGGCACTTGGATGCTATCATACACAGAGACTTCTGGGGTTAGAATCATCACAGTCATCACAAGTGAATCAACATAGGCAAAGACAAATAATCATGATCACATGTTACATATCCTAGGCTAGCACGCCTCAAATTAATCAAAACTTCATCATACGTGACTCAACAAAGGCAAACACTCATAATCATGATCACATGTTACATACACTAGGCTAACACACATCAGATTAATCACAGAGTCATCACAAGTAACTCAGCAAAGGAAAACACTCATAATCATGATCACATGTTACATATCCTTGGCTAAGACACCTCAAATTAATCACAGGTCCATCACATGTGACTCAGCATACGCAAATACACATAATCATGTTCACGGGTTACATATCCTAGGCTAACATACCTCAGATTTCTTAAGCAACCATAGATTACATTAATAATAGAAAAAGGGGTTGTGACATTATTGAAAGAGGTCAAATAGCATTCCCAAACAGACTGGAATCACTCAAACACACATCCTAAGTGAATTAGCATACGTAAAACATATCTGACCCACATATTAGAAACCTCGACCCTGAAATTATCATGAGTCACATAACAACCAAAATGGACTTCTCACACACATGCAAGGCCCAGACAACACCCCTTCAATCATCACAAGTCCATATAACATTCAAGACGGAACGAGTAAGGTTTCAGAAGGTTACTTTCCTTAAGGAACCCGTTCGTTGCAGTCGTCTTCCACACTGCCACCATCGCTCTATTCTCCTTTTGGTGTCGGTCCTAAGTTCACTTCTTCTCAATCATTTAAATCAAGTCCATGCAAACCATCGTACGTATCAGACACGAGATTAGATTCATATTTCTTACGCAAACGCCAATTCGGACAACTTTAGGTGAGGTTGAGTAACCAAAACGAACTATGAATAATTTAAAAGGAAGTTCATCGTGGTTTCCAGTTACATGTGAAGCTTCAGCTTCTAAGACTCCAAGATCAGTAGGCTCTGTCGATTTGGGAAGGTGGACCGACTTAAGGTTTTAAGGAGATGATGGTTTCCGATCCATTTCTGATGGAGGATAGTAGAAGAGACTGTGATTATGGCAATGAGTAGAACGACGGGTGACAATGGATGTGAGGAGAACGCCGGGTAACGATGGAGGTGAGGAGAAGGAGGATGCAGGCGATAGGGGGCAATAGAAGACATAGACACAGGGGAAGGAGGGAGAGAGAGAGAGAGAGAGAGAGAGAGAAATAGGTAGTATATCTTCATAGGACATTATTTTACTTGTTTATATGATATACGTAGTAGGTTATACCGAGTATTACTTATATGAAAATAATAATAATACTTAATATATGATCAAAACGGGAATACGCACCGGATAAAAATGCTACGTACTCCCTCCGGTTCTCAAACAACCTCCCACTTTCCTTTTCGGGAAGTCCCGAAATTAACTTCACATTTCTTCTTATTTCCTTATTTGGCAAATTATCTACACCAAAACAGTGCAAAACAGTGTCAAACAGTGCCAAACAGTGCCAAACAGTGTCCAAACAGTGTCAAACAGTGCACTCCACAGTGAAGTCAAATTTATTTTCTTAATCTGTGTGAAGTCAAACTGTGAAGCTGTTTGAGAACCGGAGGGAATAGTATTTAGTCACTTTTAGCTACTGTGATTGTCAATTCCTAGCATCAGAAAAACACACTGTATAAAGGATGCTTTTAATTGGAATAGTTTTACCTTCAATTCAAACAAGTTTAGAACATAACAGAACTGAACAAATCAGATTTTGACTGATCCAAACAGATCAGATTTTGACTAATCCAAATTAGTCTGTGAAATTGATGCACACTAATTAGTAGTGCATAATTACATGTTTTTATGTTTGATTTATGTTAATTGTTTGACGTTTTATTTAGTTTGTAAACATTTATGTGATTTCAGTTGTAATTGTATTTTAGTCTTTATTTGTAGGTTGTAAAGTTTAGTTAGGATTTGTGGTGTCGGAAAGGAAGACTTTGAAGAGAAGAAAACAAGAAATTTGACTGCCCAGGAGTGAAACCCGACCGGGTAGAAACCCTCACCCGGTCGGGTGTGATTTAACAGACGAAATTGCCAAGAAAGTCACTGGACCCGGTCGGGTCCCCTACTTGACCCGGTCGGGTCAGATGTGACCCGGGACAAAACGACGTGCGAAGATCACCAGAACGTGGCGGATTATCTGATTTTGACCGGACCCGGTCGGGTAAGTACAATACCCGGTCGGGTACCCGGCCAAAGGTGTTGAAAAACACCTATAAATAGCACACTTTTTCTTCACAAAAAATCCAATCCCTTTGTACATCTAAGCTCAGTATAGAATAGCTTTTTCTTTATATTTTTCATCATGTTTAGTCTCCAAATGAGGAGCTAAACTCTTCCATCTTGGTTTTGCTACTTTGAAGCTTAATGAATTTGTAAGTTGTGAGTTATTTTCTTTAATCTTCTTCCTTGAATATTAATTCTTCCTTTAAATACTATTTCTATATCAATGTTGGAGAGTGTTACTAAGATGACAATTAGTTAACATCTTGACATTAGTTATAGTAATAGTTATTTCTTCCTCTATATTAATATTGGGGAGTGTTACTAAGATGACAATTAGTTAACATCTTGATATTAATCATAGTAGGATTCATATATTTTAATATTCTTCCTTGAGTATTAATTAATTCCTATTCATATTTCATGTTAATATCTTAAACATTACTTAAAGTATCAACTAGTATTGTTTCTCATATTAATTATTACTAGAATCAATCGGTTAATACGCTTGTTATTAATCCGGTTCTTTCAACGGTAATAAACTTGGAATATTAATGCATGCATCTCATGGTTAATATGCCAAGGGGAATTAATTATATTGATTAAACCAATAAACCGCTTGTGTTGAGGTTATCAATCTCAATCGTTTTCATCTTAAGTTTATTGCTACTATCAAGTTAATATACGGCGCTTGTTCTATATTGACTCGATAGTAAGTTTTATTAATGAATGCATCTCGTTATTAATAACTACACTCGATGAACTGGATATACTCCTCGATTGAGTATTCGAGAGGAAGATAGTTAAAGATATAACCGGGATCGACGAACATTTCATTAAGTGGATAAAAGCAAAACCAAGTCTTCATCTCATTGAATTAAACTCATATAGGTTGTTTATCTTAGTGTTTTTAAAGCAAACAACTCTAAACCCCCCTTTTGTTACTATTTATTTAAAAGAAAAGTATTCCTTTCTCTGTGGATACGAACCTTACTACACTATACTACGTATTAGTGTTGTATTGATTAATTATTTTGAGTGCACCTAACTACGAGTGCACGTCAGAAATCTATGAAAATAATGGTGTTTTCAAATGTTACGTAGATTTATATTATTATTTATTTGCACGGATTGTAATTGATTTTGATGGATTTCTACATTCAAAACATTCCAGCGAGAGGTATTTGGAACTAATTATGCTTCTGCTTCTGGTTCTTTTGCTTCTGCTTCTTTTTTAAAGCAGAAGCAGAATCAGAAGCAGTTTTCAGAAGTTGAACTTTCCCTACTTCTAAAAAAACCCGTTTCTATGAATAATTAGAGCACCAGAATTGCTTCTTCATTTTCACCCAAACACTCCAACTTCTTTAAGGAGCAGAAACAGTTTTAAAAATCAGAACCAAACGCTATCTGAGTCTCCACTTTCAATAGTCCTTACCAGATCAGCATATAATCAGTCTAATTCCGGTTAAGTTCAACCGGTCTGCTCTGTTTTCAGGTTTAGAGAGGAATTAGCAATGCATTACCTATAACTAGATCGGGCTAAATATGAAACCAGTCGACTAGCCTACAATTAAGCTAAAGTTAATACTCCGCCAGAAAAGTTTTTTGTCGGAAATGAACGTGTGTTGTCTGTTGAAGGGTCTCCATCACGAACAATATATGCCATACTCATAAATAATAAAAAAGTGCATGTGTGGTTTACAATTTTCCTTCACTTTTAAAACAGGAATTTTCGTTAACTGATTGAATAATACATTGGACCCAAAAATAAATTTAATTTTATAAAATACTCCGTACTCCATAGATATTAAATTGTACATAGCGCACAAGAAATAATAAATTTAAATTCTTTAAAATAGTTGTTCAGTAATCCACCAGCACTAAGTTTATTGTTGATGACTATCTTGCCATCTTGGTAAATTATCAAAGGTAGTTGGCTGTTGGTAATTGCCTTGACATCATTTACTGTCACTACAGAAAATTACGGGATTGACACATAATTTGGTACGGATTTATCGATTTTTCGTGTCAAATAGCTCGTGTCAAAGTACTTTTGGCACGGATTTGACATTTTCCTGCCAAATCCTTTTCAAAATCTCTGTCAATCCGTGATTTTTTTGTAGTGTACGTATATTTTAAACTTTAAAAATAATACGGAGTATTTGTCTGCACAAAGAATTAAATAGTTTAATGACTTTAATCCAAGAATTATTAGTTTTTAAATAAACTTTAATTAACGAACGATTCACTTTTACTTTAAAATAGTAAAATTTCAAACTATTAACCTTATTCGGACATGGGTAAATAGCGATTACTCAGTGTGAGTCATTCGAGAAGTAACTTGTGAATCTTGAACTGGTGTGATCTTTGCTCATGTTCTTTTATTTTATTTTATTTTATTTTTTTACGGTTTCTCAAATACTCCGTAAGTAGTAGGAGTACTTTATTAGCTTTTACTAGTATAAAGTACATTAGTGTGTTACCCATCGATCAAATTGTTTGTATAAACATAATTTGATTAATATTTTGTGAAGATAATAATCGTTTTTCACACAGACAAAAAAATGTTTATGTCACATATAGTTTTTTTGTCTGACATACAATTTTTATTTTTTTACGAAAAATGATTTTCTTCACAAAACGCCGGCCAAATTGTCTGTATACAAACAATTTGACCGAGCGTCTAGAAATGGCATGTACATATCTATGGTTTTCCAATATTTAAGCTACTGCTTTTATGGTCCCTTTTCTTGACTCATTTTTAGACAAAAAAATGAGGTAATGATGTGCTTTTTCACCCGTTCTAAACCCAGACTCAATCTAGCACTTGGCATTTTCAACCGTATCTTTACAAATTACAATTGAGCATGAGTCATACTCGTTATATATTTCATTTATAAAAAAAACTAATCTACTACCTTTCACTTTATTAACCCACATTTTTACTACTCCGTACAACTTTTACTTTCTGACTTTATTAATAAATCCATCAATTAAAACGAGACATATAAATAAGAAGAAGTAATAGTATTTGCGATACTACTTATGTGTTTTAAGCACAGAGTTGTTATTATACGCTAAGTTTAGTGTCTAGTGGGTCTCCGCTCTCACAAATCTCTGGGTCCGCCACTGGTTTTAACGTTACTTTTTCTCCTCCCAATTTAATTATGACTCACAAGCAGATATTCCTGATTTTGTTAGTCATATATTCCCTCCGTCCCAAAAACAACTTCTCACTTTCCTTAAATGGATGTCCCAAAATTAACTTCACACTTCAAACCACTTCCTTATTTGGCAAATTATCAACATCAAAACAGTGCCAAACAGTGCCAAACAGTGCTAAACAGTGCTAAACAGTGTCAAAACAGTAAAATTTTGGGAAAGTCAAACCAAAATTTTAATCTACCTAAATGTTTTTGCTAGTCAAACTGTGAAGTTGTTTTTGGGACGGAGGGAGTATAATTATTTATGAATGTTTGAATGATATATGGAGTGTATATATATATATATATATATATATATATATATATATATATATATATATATATATATATATATATATTCCTTTATATATTTGTACCATTTTCTGTGGTTCATTCTACATTATTCACTACACCTATTATTATTTTAATGGTAAAAAGACCAATGTAACAAACAAAAGTAACATAAAGACTGTTTCACAGAGAGTACATGCTAGTCATATTCACATGTGCTGAATGTCTGAAAGAGGGAGTTGAATGCTAGACACCCAACTATAAAAGTAAAAATACACACAAACTTCTTTCTGTATGGTGTACCATTGATTAAGCATTAAAGCCAATGCACAAGCTTTTGCTGTGGCACTGATTAAGCCAATGCCACAAAGGAGTATATATATAATTGGATAGATAATATGATTAATTAAGGGTAATACTGTGATTAGTGATGAGAAGAAGCAAAGTTGTTTATCAAAGCCAATGCGTTGCTTGTCAGATGAGCCACCTTCCGGATCTGCAGCTTCACCGCCGCCTTAAGGCTGCCGTCGAGAGCCTTCCCGGCGAACCCATCCATGCAGGTATCCTGGTCCGTCAAGGCGGCGCTAACCCACGTCTCGACGTCGCTCATGATGATCTCGAAACGGGGCCCGCTGAGCTCCTTCATTTCCTCCATTGACTTCCTGATCTGGTCAACGGAGTCGCGCATCTCCTCGACGCAGTCGTGCATGGCGCCGGCCTCCCGTCGCGTGATGTTGTAACTCTGCGCCGCCATTTTGACCAGACAGGTGGAGGTTGACCTGGCGCCCTGCACCGCCACGGTCAGGGCGGTCCGGGCGAGAAGCTCCGGGTCGGCGCCGATTTCACTTGCATGGCTTGATAGGGAAGTGTAGCACAGGTGTGGGTAAGTTGTGGATTGACAAGACGATTTGATGAACTCAGAGTTGGTGGTTCCGATGACGGCGGAATTAACCCTCGCCGCCTCCGACGACGGATTTATCGAGAATATTGATAGGGCCAGTGAAGCAAGAAAAGCAGCAAGGAATTTGTTACCCAAGCCCATTTCCGTTTCTCTCTCTTGCTTAGCTAGAATATGTATGTATGGATTTATTGAAGGGAATGAGAAGGGAAATGGAATTATATTGGGATTTATAGGGGAGCAATTTCTATTGCGTGAGATTTAGATAGAGATTCCGTATATGGGACTCGTGAAGTGAAGTGACGCAATTAAATTCGTAAAATATATACGTTGGTGATACACATTTTGGAGACATTCTAGAGCATATTAAGGGTGACTAATAAGTAAAACGTATACAGTTTCTTGCTCGTAAATATACCCGAAAAGTAAATTGAAGTATGTTACTCCCTCCGTCCCGCTAACAATGGGACAAGAGGGAGTGACACACAAATCAATAAAAAGTGGTTTATGTGGTTGATATTGAATTGATAAAGTAAGAATAAAATAAGAATGATTTAGAGTCACACAAACTTTGCCAAATTTGGTATGAGACAATTTTAGTGGAATGGATCGATAAGGTAAAACGGGACAATCATAGCGGGACGGAGGTAGTATTAAATACTCAATTCGTCCCTTAAAACTTTGTCAACTTTCTTTTTTTGGATGTCCCACTAACTTTATCACTTTTCATTTGAAGTAAAGAATTTGTGGCTACAATGAATTCTCTCTTCTCTGCACAAACATTTACCACACAATTTTTACTTTATTAACCCCGTGCCGATCAAAATTGGCAAAGTTTTAATTTTTATTTTTGGAGTAAAAATGTTTAATAATTTTATATTATTTGGTTGCCTTCACAAATACAGAGTACTAGTATAATGTATGCGCGCATTTCTCATCAAAACAAATAATGGTTGAATGAGTCGATTCAATTGGAATTTATGAAGTTTTGACTGAATTGATTGGATTGACTTATTCTATTGAATTATAAAAATATTATATTTAAAGTATATTTTTTAATATAACGGAGAAAAATTATACTAAAATATGTATAAAAAAATATTAAAAATGATCCCTACAGAAATGTGTCTCCAAACTTACTTATTCGGTCATTACACACCTCAGCACGCAAAATATTACTCCGTACTTAACTGTTTAAAAAGTTGAAGGATAAACACAATCTTTTATACCAAAACATGTCTTAGGATGTTTTTACTTGGACTGTAATTTGCTGGTCTGGTCTGGTCTGGTCTGATCTGGTCTGGTCTGGTCTGATTTCTTTGTATTTTTATAACTATTCAAGTCTGGTCTGATCTGGTCTGGTCTGAACTGGTCTGGGACGAATTATAGTCCAAGTAAAAACATCATTACTATCATTCGAGTATCTTGTTAATTTTTAGTCTCAAAAGTTTCACGTCGTTAGTAGTTGTACGATGCTCCGTGGAAATGTGGAATGACACTTTTTAATTTACATATTAAAGGCCTAATGATAATGCGTAGCTTGTACATAAAAAAGGCCATCTACATTAATCCTGTTGGGATCCCTACTTAATTGGAGAGGTTCTAGAAAATTCTAGAGCTTTCTAGAGAAGTATAGAATTTTCTAGAACGTTGCGGAGAATCCTAGAGAAGTCTAGAACTCTCTAGAAGCTTGCGGAATAATGTGGAATCCTCTGGAATATTCTAGAGATGTGTGGAACCTTCCGGAAGCTTATGGAAGAGTATGGAAGCATATGGAAGAGAATGGAGAGGTGTAGAGATTCCTTGGAATTCTCTAGAATAGGTAGTCATGTAGATCATTCTAGAAAAATATTTTCAACTACTCATTATGGAGGTGGAGTAGTATAAATAGGAGTAGGAACCTCCATTCCTAACTATCTCAATCCTAATCCTAGCAAGAGAGAATCCACTTCCTAGAGTGAGAAAGCTAGAGAGTTAGAGAGCCTCTTTGAGAGAGAAGAGAGTTAGTTTGGGAAGGTCATATCCTCAAGCTTGAGTGAGCCACCATTGAGTGAGACAATTTTGTAACATTTTTGTAAATCATACTATTCTTTTGTATAGTGGAAGAATCTCCATATTGGAGAATTTAAATCATGTGCTCCCATTACTACCTTAATTCCTAAGTGCCTATCTTAACTTCACGAAGCGGGAAATTCCGGAGTTTTTTCCCAACAGTGGTATCAGAGTCAGGTTCATTTGAGGTTTTCATCAGCTCGTGTAGTTCAAGATGGAGGATAGTGTCACCCATGATGGAGACATGTCCAAGCTAACTGCCAACAACTACTCATATTGGAAGCCAATGATGGAAGACCATTTATACTGCAAGGATTTGCATGAGCCCATCATCTACTGAATCGGAAAGTCATTGCTATGATCCGTAAGTACATCGACAAATCCCTCTTCGAGCATGTGTCCACTTACACGAATGCTTATGAATTATGGACAAAACGTGAGTCCATGATTCAAAAGAAGACACCCCGTAATAAAGCCAATTTAGTTCGACGGTTGGTGAAATTGGAGTATAAGGATGGTCAAAGTATGATTGAACACTTGAATAACTTCAAGGGGCTCGTAAATCAACTAACAAAAATCGAGATGAAGATTGATGACGAGTTGCAAGCCCTTCTACTCCTTAGTTCCTTGCCAGAAAGTTGGGACACACTCGTGGTTACACTTAGTAACTCAGCTCCGAAAGGAAAGGTAACCACGGACACCGTCAGTGATAGTCTTCTTGGTGAAGAATCAAGGAGAATGGAACGAGGTGAGTCTATGCATCCTGAGGCTAATGTTATCGAGAACCGGGGTAGGAATGAGACTCGTGGACGCAGTAAAAGCTGAGATCCGCAACAATCTCGAGGTAGGTCCAAGTCACGCTCGAAGATCACATGCTACTACTATGGAAGAATGGGCCACAGGAAAATGGAGTGTCGATCCTTCAAGAGAGACCAGAAGGCTGGTAACGTCAAACCAGACCAAGTCACCCCAACGAAGAAGCAAGAAGAGAAGAGTACCACTGCCGTAGTCGCAAAAGAAGATCTGTTATATCTCGTTGGAGAAGGTAATATCCTAAACATTGTTTGTGATGATAGTTCCTGGATTATCGATTCTGGTGCTTCGTTCCATGTCACTCCCCATGGAAGTTTCTTCTCATCCTACCAAAGTGGTGACTTCGGTACGGTTCAAATGGGAAACCAAGATAGGAGCAAGATCGTTTGGATAGGAGACATCGTCCTGACAACTAGCACCGGATGCAAGCTTGTTCTCAAAGATGTGAGGCATGTCCCGGCCATGCGCCTCAATCTTATCTCCGCTGGAAAGTTAGATGATGCTGGTCTGATGAATTACTTTGGTGAAGGAAAATGGAAGCTCACCAAAGGAAGTCTAGTCATGGATAGAGGAAAGAAGGAAGGATCATTGTATGTGATGCAAGCTAAGCTCTGCAAAGGAGAGGTAAATATAACCACCGATGACATGGAAGTATGGCATAAACGACTTGGTCACATCAGTGAGAAGGGCCTTCACATACTTGCTCGGAAACAACTCCTCCCGGACGTGAAAGGTAAGTCACTTGATCCTTGTGCACACTGTTTAGCTGGAAAACAACAAAGGGTTGCTTTCCAAAGATCTTCTCTGCCCACAAGGAGAAAGAACATCCTCGACCTTGTACACACCGATGTGTGCTCAATGTCCGAGAGATCTATTGGTGGTGCGTTGTACTTTGTGACCTTCATTGATGATCATTCAAGGAAGGTATGGTTGCACCTGTTAAAATCAAAGGATCAAGTACTCGACGCTTTCAAGGAATTCCACGCTCTTGTAGAACGTGAGACAGGAAGGAAGATCAAGTGTGTACGATCTGACAATGGAGGTGAGTATAGAGGTCCCTTTGAAGCCTATTGCAAGAAATATGGCATTAGGCTAGAGAAGACTCCACCCAAGACACCACAATTGAATGGGCTAGCTGAGAGAATGAATAGAACTATTGAAGAAAGAGTCCGTTGTGTGCTCTCTCAGGCTAAGCTACCCAAATTCTTTTGGGGAGAAGCTATAATGGCCGTAGTTGACATCGTAAACCTCACACCATCGGTTCCTTTGAACGGCACCATCTCAGAGGAAGTATGGACGGGAAAAAAGGCTTCATACAATCATCTTAAGGTGTTCGGGTGCAGAGCATTTGTTCACATCCCCAAAGACGAGCGAACTAAGCTCGACGCAAAGACGAAGGAGTGCATATACCTTCGCTCACCCAAGGATGAATTCGGCTATCGGCTATGGGATCCAATCAACAAGAAGGTTGTTCGTAGCAGAGATGTGGTGTTCTTCGAAGACCAAACAATTGAAGACATTAAAAACTCGGAGAAGCCTAGATTGAGAAGAGCAGGAGCACCGGACCTACGCAAGTTTGATGTGAGGATACTGATCCACATCAAGACAATAATGTTGAAGACCATGAGCCTGTGTTAGAGCAAAGAAACCAGGAGACTCATGATGAACCAACTCAGGAAGATCCTCAATCTAGTTCTCTGCCAGCACAAGAGCCGAGGCGATCCTCAAGGGAGAGAAGACCATCCACTCGGTACAACACCGAGGAGTACGTGATGCTCACGGATGAGGGGGAGCCACAAAGCTATAAAGAAGCAATCTGTTATGTTCATAAGGAAGAGTGGAGAATAGCCATGCAAGAAGAGATGCAATCCTTGCATGAGAATCACACTTATGAACTTGTGGAGCTGCCAAAAGGGAGAAGAGCCTTGAAGAATAAATGGGTGTATCGAATCAAGACCGAAGACAATAGCTCAAAGCCTCGTTACAAAGCTCGATTGGTTGTCAAAGGATTCGGTCAAGAAAAAGGCATCGACTTTGAGGAAATATTCTCTCCTGTGGTAAAGATGTCATCCATCCGAGTTGTTCCTGGCCTAGCAGCGGCGCAAGATTTGGAGATTGAACAACTCGATGTCAAGACAGCGTTCCTTTACGGTGACCTAGAGGAAGAGATCTACATGGAGCAGCCCGAAGGGTTCAAAGTTCCGGACAAGGAAAACCTAGTATGTCGCCTCATGAAGAGTCTATATGGCCTCAAACAAGCACCGAGACAGTGGTACAAGAAGTTTGAGTCCTTCATGGCAGAGCATGATTTTACAAAGACAACGAGCGATCATTGTGTCTTCATAAAGAGGTATGCAAGTGGCGACTTTCTCATACTTCTACTCTATGTTGATGATATGTTGATTGTTGGAC